TTTATGTGCTTTAAACATTTTTCTAGTGATATTACGACTTCAATATTTGTGGCGGACAGACGTAAAGTCGAATAAAATGACTTAAACTTGATTTTTATTTTTCCATATAGTTTTTTGACAAACGACGTATAATCGGGAATGACGTAACTCGAAATGACATAAGTCAAGGTATACCTGTATATTAATTTATATTATATTTATTCTCACTTTTACTTTATTTTCTAAAAAGAAAATCACATCATACAAAAGTTTAAAATCAAATCTAATTTTTGTTCATTTTGTAATATTTTTTCAATGATTTCTGAAAATATTTATTACAAATATTTGAATGTTTAAGTATTTAATTTTAAATTTTGTTTTTATTAAAATATATGAATTCTGATACAGAAACTTACTTAATTCTTGAAATGAGCTTACCTGCGACCAAGTTTTGGTGATTCAGGTCCATTACTAGAAACTGCTTTGCTAGGACTATTTTCATTACATGATGACTGCCTTTCCCATGACCTTTTATCTAATGTCTCCATATCCTATAAAGGAAAAACACACAAACAAAGAAAGAAAAAAACTAATTTCAAAAAACATTGTTATAAAAATTTCTATTAATAAGAGCATCAATACTTTACACAAAACATATTAATTGTAAATTTATTTTTGAAAATTTTTAAACTATTTTAAACAATAATGAAAATTAATGCATTGTACTGTACATACCTGTCCGCTTTGGTTATTTTCAGCTTGGGCTCTTCTGAAAAATTAATGTTTGCTATGTTTAACTGTAAATAACATATAAAATCACTAATCTTTTAATAAATTTTCTATAGTAATTTATTTTTATACCATGAAACCCACCTCCTGGCAAGAGTTTTGGCCATTTCATCCATCATACTTGCCATTCCTCCAAGTGATGGACGAATTTGCTCTACAGAAGAATTTCCTTCATTTCCCTAGTAAAGCATGTATAAAAATTGTTAATCATAATTAATAAAGTATAAAAAGTCACTAATAAAATATATATAAATAATTTCTTAATAAATCTAAAAGTTAAATTAAAATAAAATTTTATTAATTTCAATAAATATATAACCAATTTAAGTGAATAAGCATCAATAATTAAAATTATTTAGTATATAAGTGCTGGTGATTATGAAAAGTCAACAAAAGTAAATCATTGAATTTGTTTCACAAACTATTTGTAAAATTTTACAATTACATAAAAAATATTTTGAAGAGAAAATATATATTTGTATTCTTGTTTTATAAAACTATATATATTTTATTATTTTTAAAAAAGTTAAATTTAAAACTCAAAAGTTAAAATATTTATATTGTCATTTATGATAAAAGTTGTGAATTAATTTTACTCCAATTTTAAAATAATTTGTTCTGTTCTATACATTTAGTTAATAAAATTTTATAATCTTTCGAAGCTGAATCAATAAAGATTCAAAGAAATTTACAAGTACATTCTGTGATTTTGATTTTTGTTCCTTCCTTACTCTAGTCATAAAGACTAAACCAAAGCATAAATTTATTTTTACAATTCAACCTATAATTACTACACTTTTTAATCAATCAGTGGAACATTTCTTATTTTTAACAGTGAAATCCGACTTTAGTGGACACTGTGTTTAGCAAACAAAAGATCTGGTCCTACATTAATAATGGGACTAGTAATGTATTTTCCTATCCCTTTTTCTCCTACTCATAATTTCATAGCTTTCCTATTCTCAAAACTTCTTATTAAGCAAACAGTACAATGGATTATATACAGGGTTCCTACTCAAATTTTTGTTTTGAATTCCCTGACTTTCCCTGACCAACTTTGTCCAAATTCCCTGACTCTCACATTTTTTAGTGTGGAATATCGACATAATAAAACAGCATTTACTGTTAACGTCGAGTACATTTAGCCCTCTTTTTGCACAGTTGATATGCTTCAAAGACTGTCACATTAAAAAAATACAGTACATACATCCTGTAGAAAAATGTTTGATAGAATCCACAACTTCAATGTAATGAAAAAATAAGCAATTTACAAACAAAACACAAGCTTTTTATTTTATCATCATTTATCATTATTATTTGTATGTAAATCTAGTAAATACAAGGTAACA